CAACTACTTTCTGCTAAACTGTGTACAATCCAATAACCCTGTGCTCTCACTTACCGCGAATTCCGCTTTCCGAAACGTACCTCTGGAGCGTTATAGAGCCCTGCACAAAGTCTTGAGCGATCACGCATCGCTCAGTGCTGGACGCCGCAGCAAGCAGGTCCACCACAGCCCGGCACTGGCACCAGTCACTCGCTGAGCCGGCAGGCTTCGCACAGCTACTTCGACCATCCAACGCCTCGGGCGACAAGGCCAGCTCCAACCGGAATACAGCATTGGGTTCTTTGTGCTTCAACAAGCACCATGCCCGCTTGCACCCAATCTCTGAACCCAAACTCTGGGTAGCTTTGGGACGAAGGCGAAGGGAGTGGATTTAATTGCGTACGTGCCTTTGCCAGTGCCGTGTCTTGACAAAGATCTCGTAGACTCCTTCGAACCTGAAACTACCCACTCACTGGCCCTTGGTTTCGTGCATCGGCTCAAGTTTGTACAGGAGAAGTACCATCAAACTTCGCCAGTGCCCCGTGGCATCCCGTGGCCCGTGACCAGGAAGCGGAAGCCATGAGGCTGCTTCTTTGGACTGCCATGCTGGAATCGTTGAGCTTGGGACATTCAGCCACAAATGCTGAATCTGACCGTGGTTAGTTTTTCGCTTACTTTCATAAGAGACGAAAGCAGTGAACTACCAACGTGAACTCTGCGCAAAATCGAATGAAGCCTAAGGGCAAACTCTCGAGTTCCGAGTCCTTATGCTAAGCAAGTAACGTATAGTTAAGCCTCATCAGTCCGAAGCACCTACCTTCACCCCAAACCTGCTAACCAGAAACGTGCGCTGCACCCAAGGAATGGGGACACAGCATCAACATGGCAGGGCTGCAGCGAACACTGAGCCAGAGGATGTCGAAAGAATTCCTCTTGATTTCTCTTGGCATTGACGGCAATGTCAACAAGGCGCCCAGGCCTTTAACCTTTACAGGTGAGCGCGGTGTAAGCTTGTGGATTGCAGGAGACTTTCCAACGAAGTCTAGGCGATGCAATGCAGATCCTCCAAGACAGATAGCAGATAGACCTAAGCCTTCTGACCTCAAGAAGTCAAGAAGCATCATGGTCCGACAAGTCCAAGTGGGACCTGTTTATCTCCAAGTCCACTTGCACGCTATTCTCTAATCGCCAGCGCTGCCCTGAACCCTCTCCCAACCGAGCCTCAGGCAAAGCTGCAGCAGAGCGTTCAAGATTTCAACTCAACACTCTATGCGCTAATACGGGGCGATCCCCAGCAAGGCGCCGGGGTGCGTGTGCACTGTGTGTTGGTGGGTTCGGGGACTTGCATGTTTGTGTCTTCGCATGTCGCGCTGGCTTACAATTTCCCTTCCTCCGCACAGTCTCTTTGCCGTTCCCCTTCAAACTGTCCCGTCTTTCTGTCTCGTTGATTCTTCATTTATTCATTCATTGATTTTCTCTCTCCTTCCCTTGCATCTCCCTTTTCTTCTCTTGCTACGCTCACGCATATTTCGTGTGATACGTTTCTGCATGCCTACTCTGTGAGATGCATCATTCAGCCTGCCAGTGCAGGAATTGGTTTCAGTACCCGCACCACGCTGGAATGAAAACAGCTGATGATCCACTGCATGGAGAGTACATGTCCATACGTGTCTATGTGTCTATGTATATGAGTATAGGTGTATGCACACACGCACGGACATAGGCGGATAGGTAGGTAGGTACGATTAGGTATGGATCCGTCAGGTAGGCAGGCAAGCAGGCATGCAGGCAGATATGTCCCCACGGAGCTTGGTACCTTTATGTATGTCTGCATGATTATGCACGCATGCGTCCACACACGTGCTTAAGTTTATGTGCACATGTACGTATGTAGGTAGATATGTCTATACTATATATATATATATAGACATGTGTGTGTGTGTGTGTGTGCGCGTACGCGAGTGCATGTACCTAAACGTGTGTGTGTGTGTGTGCATGTATGTATGTATGTATGTATGTTTGTACGTATGTATGTAATTTCGTGTGCAAGTATGTATTTATGAACGTATGTTTGTATGGATGCATGTATGCAATGTTTGTTGCACATGTAATGTGTGTCATGCACGCAATGTGCGTGTACGCATGCATATATATATATATATATATGTGCATGTGTCTTTGTATGTGTGTGTGTGTTCGTATCTGTGTACCTATAGGTAGGTAGGTCTGTATGTACGTAACAACGTATGTAGGTATGCACGGTGTACGTATGTAGGTATATTTGGGTGTAGGATAACGTGTATGTATGTATGCATGCATTCATACACGTATGCACGTATGTGATGTATGCGTATGTGTATGTATGCGTATGTGTATGTAGGTATTTTTTTTGTTGTGTGTCTGTGTGTGTGTGGGTGGCTGTGTGTATGTGCACGTGTATGTACGTATGTGTCTAGTATGTGTGCTTGTCTGTCTGTCTGCCTGCCTGTGTGTGTATGTACTTATGTGTGTATGTGTGTATCTAGGCAGATAGGCAAGTAAGTAGCTGAGCAGGTGGCTAGGCTGCTCGTAAGTACGCAGGTATGGGTATGTCTCAGTATCCGTGCATATATGTATGCATGCATGCACGACGACGGCGATTCTCAAGAGTACCACGACGACGACTACTACTACCACCGCTACCACGACGACGACGACGACGACGACGACGACTACTACTACTACTACTATTACTGCTACTACTACTACTACTACTACTACCCAAAGGGTCCAAATATTATTCTGGTATATACTTACAGGACATTTTGGGGATCTAAGTATGTACCATGATGATACTTGGACCCTTTGGGCTGCTACTACTACTACCACCACTACCGTGATTCTACGGCAGCACAGCCGCAGCACAAACCTTGGTCCGTACCGACAGCCCAATGAGGATTGACATGGTGCAACTATCATGATCATGCGGCAGAGGGGGAAGAGGATTATGACGAGGAAGAGGATGAACGCATACACACAGCACACAGCAGTGTTCCCAATGCTACTTCTGAATGATGTACGTCCGCCCAGCTCCTAAGAGCCATGATTGTATGATGCACACTCGCACACTAATTTCCGGTCATGACAGTGTGAAGCTTGATCCCACTGCATGCAAGCTTATAAGCTATCCTAACACGACCGCGCACAGATCTCCTATTCCATTGCCTCCCACTGTCTTGACCAATCGCTCTCTGCTTGCTCTTCAAAAGGATTAGGATTTCAGCCCTGTGGCTGGGGTGGATCTTTGAGAAGTATAGTATAGGCATTCGCATAGTCTCCAAGAGTACAGCTATGAAAATATGACCTTCGAAGCCGCAGCGACCGAGAACGAAGAGCACTCCCCACCCCGTGCTGTTGCGGTTGGCACTCCTACCCGTGAAGGTATCGTCGCAGCACCCAATGCGCGTGTGGCAGAGAACCTGCAGAAGGTCGGCCGCCTTAGTCTTTCGATAACTCGGGTTTGTGGCTCCCTTTTCTCTCGATCATGCTAGCACGGTTTTCGGTGAAGGTCTTTCAACGACGTCGATTGACAATGGAGGGGAGCCCTTTCTGTCGATTTTGAGCTATAGAGCCCTCAACCCAGCTGCCTCGAGTTCCTTGTGGCTTGAAGAGTCCATCGAGCCGCGAAATGCAGGAAGAGAATCGTTTGAGGTTCGGGGATTTGGATGAACTTCACAGCCACGGCATACACAGGCATCCACGATTGCACTTTGCGCCAGTGGGACAACTACGAATCACAAGTAATGTTGCGGAAACTCGGCCATATGAAATCATCCCGGAAAGAAGCTGCCCCATGAAGAACAATGCCCACACTTTGATGTGTCAACGGGGTGACGGTACAAGGAGAGGTAGATCAGGGAAACCATGCCAAACTGAGAGAAGCGGTGATCCATAAACACATCATGATGTTGGCCATGATGATAATGAGGATGCTGAGGAGGCTGTGGGCCACGCTCAGGATGATCGTGGTCTTGACCTGATAGTGATGTCCACGACTGTGAGTATGACTGATCCTCGTCCTCGTCGGCCCATCGTCTGCTTCGAGATCACCACAGCAATGTCTCCCTCATCGTTTTAAGCTGCACGCTTCGACTGCTCCTCTTAAGGCACACCGCCTGCTTCCCCTGCTTCTGCTGCGTAAACTTTGTGTGCTGCGGAATCAAAGCGACATGCCTCGCGTAAAATCAGGAAACAACACCCATGCAAAACGCTGATTCTTGTGAACGGCCGAAGTAGTCTAGAGCATCGTGCAGCCTAGGTTTTGCACTGCGTCTTAGACCACTTCTTCAATACGGGCCAGCAGTTGACTTGTCTAGCCGTCTAGAGGTGCTGGCGCTTCAAGATAGTTTACATCGTTACCAAGGTGTCACCTTTGGAATCACCACAGCCGCTTCTCAACATCAAGCAACCAGACCTGGGCACAACACTGACTGACATCATTCCCGTCTGATCACGGGCGACAACCGTGAGCATGATCAAGTTCCTTTGTAGGTTGACACGCAACGGAGTGAAGCCCAAACCCTCACGAGAAACCTCACTGTGCAAGACCCGAACCAAAGGTCCTACGTCTTTGGGTGCCGTTCGAGATTCTCCTAACCAGCAGTATGGATTCTGTTCGTTCCTTGGACGGCTCGATCAACGTTCCCGTCCTGGAGGTTCGATCGTTCAAAGTGTGCATCATGTTTTCCGTTGCGGTCTGCCGAGATGGCCTTTCGGGCACCACCTGGTGAGAACGTGTTGAGATGAAGACCCCCGCATTAGGCGGCCTTTGCTGCGACAAATTTATTGAGAGTATAGGCGCATGATTTGAAATGATCTTTGACTCCCCCTCAGGTCTCCTACCCTTTTTCCTTGTCCTCGCTCTTCGCTCTCTTTCTCTCTCTTTCATCGCTTGCGGAGGCCGTGTCCTCGCAGAATGGGCCCTTGCTGGACGCCTCAAACGTAGTGGTTGGCGGGCTGGTCGACGCAGCAAAGGCCCACGAGTTGTTGGCTTGGGAAGGCATGAGAGACGATTTCAGGTGTACGTCTTGGGGATCTGTTGGTCTTGCAGCTTTGCAAATGACGTCCTTCATCTCCTGTCCCATAAACCCACCCCGACCCTAACAAGCAGCACCGAGAGCGACTTCAGACCCGGGCCCAGACCGTAATCCTGGAGCTCAATCGGTCGTGCTGCTGCTTTCGAGACCCGGTTTGGTTTCAAGATGCACGATCCTTCACTGTGAGATCCTTCAAGCCCGGACCTTGAAAGCCCAGAAACCCCAGGTATCAATTTTAAACGTTTCGCGTCGTCCGCCTCAGCCCGGCTGTGGTGCATTGTTTCGGCAGCGCTTAGGGAGAAAGCGCAGGCCCTGATGCATGCCATAGCATGGGAGGGTCAGCAAGCAGTGCGAGAGGAGCAGGGTTCACCAACTCAGCCGACAAGTTGACATGATTGGAAGGGGGGAGGAACGGCGGAGGGAAGGGGCGGAGGGGGTGGGGGCCCGGACCTCTGACTGCTTCGGCCGCACCGAGGCGACACATCAATTTGGCATTCGGATCTTAGCTCTGTTCGCCAAAGCGATGCCCATGCTTGGCAACTGCAAGCTCTTTTTTCCCGCTGAGGAGCAAGTGTAGTGCTGACGTTCTGAACAACTCTGAAGCCACAGCAAGATAAGCCCAAACTCCAAATCGCCAATCGCCAAACAATCCTGGAGGTCTCTGGCGCGTCCACGAACGGGCTGGTCCAAGACATTGCTGGGCGACAGCGGACCTACATCCAGAGTTTGTGCCGCGGACTACAGACTCAAGCCTGAGGAGAGAACTCCTGCAGACCCTATCTTATAAAGACCTGGAGCAGAAGCCCTTAAGCAGTTCAGCCGACAGCAGCAGAACCCTAAATCCTCGAAGCCTGAACTTGAGCTGAGGTCGCGAACCCCCGACAATCATTCCCTGCGGTAAGAGGCGGAAACCCTTCAGAACTCCAACGCTAGCAACTTGCACCAACAACCAAGGCCGAAATTCTGACAACCATCGTTCCGAGAGTGGGGTCTCCTTCAGGTATCGCTTGGTACGTAGGATTTCGAGGTAGGGTCTTGCATGAGTCTGGTAAATAGCTTCCGGGCACGGAGCCTAATTTAGAGCACTCAGACTCTCTGCGGGGTCGAACAGCTACAAGCTGCTCAAATCACTTCTGGTCTTGTGGCTTCACAGGGCCCGTGATTTTGTGAGGCTCTCCGGTATTTCGGACTTGTCCCAGAGTTCCGGTACCGTGCGTTCTATTCTGTCCGTCTGAGTCTAGGCGAGACTCTCCGTGCTCTTCACTGATGTTTCAGAATGCGGCTGTATCTGAGCGTCACGTCCAGGTCTTTTATACGGTTTCTCGCAATTGATTACAGTACAAGCCAAAAAGTTGGAAACCCAATAGCCTCAACCCTGAAGAGTAATGCAAAGGGAATCCCAGCACTGTTTGGCCTCCATCCGGTTTCCAACTTCATGGGCTGTAGTGTAGTGACTCGTGGGCACTTGCCCAGCCAGTCTAGACGGATGTGTGGACGTCTGCAGCCATCCCCATGCTCATCTTCAAAAGGCTTCTTCAGCTCTGGCTCTTGCTAGGACTATAGGGCTTCAGGCTTCGAGAGGCTTAGTCTGCCGATGTGCTGCACCTGCCGCTCGCCCCTGGCCCAAGGTGCCTGAAGGCACTTCTGGTGAGCCAGGGTGTGTCCTTGGTCGAGAACAAGGCCACGCTCGTTGAGAACTGTCAGTGTTTTCGAGGGGATGCCGTCAGCGACACCACGAGAGCTGCAAGCCGCCTGTCCAGGCTTCTCTCAAAGAGACGAAGCTTCTGTTCGAAGCATCACATGCGGGCATCATCGAAGGTGTGCCATTCGCAGGAGTGCCAGTGCTAACCAATGTGTGCACTCTGCATCAGATGTCGGAGGTCTCTTGGCGCGGAGGAGACCTCACCGTTCAGTTTGCAAAGTCGGGTTACAGACATATAGATGACATACGGCAGGCTGTTTTTGAATCCGGTGTAACAGGGTGCCATAAGCAATCACTCACTGCAACCTTCCACTGCCATCGCAAATTGGCAAATGCTACCGAAAACCAAAACTTGTTCCGTCCCTCGTTGTAACTGAGGTAACCTTCTACTATTCGAAAGTACGGCCGCTGGTAAGCGAGATCCTCAACGCCCACACAGTGCAGTCCAGCCAGGATGTCGCCATCTCTTCTATATGCATGCACATAAACGTGCATATATATATATATATATACATATACACGCACATCATTTGTAGGGTCGCGTATCCTTTTTGTCTTTTTTTTGTGTCAAAATGTCTTTTTTTATGTCTCAGTTGACGTCTCGGCTTACACATTCCAATGTCTCGGCCATGTCACGGCCATGGTGAGGCGTCTACGACACAGGACATCTGTTCAGGCCTAGGCCAAATTAGAAACCCGCTCACGCATGGCATTGTCTCGGCCATGTCACGGTATGTCTCAGTTGACGTCTCGGCTTACACATTCCAATGTCTCGGCCATGTCTCGGCCATGTCACGGCCATGGTGAGGCGTCTACGACACAGGACATCTGTTCAGGCCTAGGCCACATTAGAAACCCGCTCAAACCCTAAACCCTAAACCGTAAAGCTTCAACTCTAAAACCTTAAACCCTCCTAAGCCATTAGCCCTAATCCCTAAACCCTGGCGAACCCCGAAAAAGGGTCTCGGCCGGGTCTCGGCGGAGTCTCGGCCAAGCGTAAATCCTGAACCCTAAGCCCTATGTCCTAAACCCTTAACCCTAAACCCCTAAACGTTACAACCAAGTCCTTAACCCTAAACCACAACCCTAAACCCTAAACCCTACACCTAAACCCTAAACCCTACACCCAAACCCTAAACCCTAAACCAGAACCTTAAACCCTGAACCTTACTCCCAAACCCTAACCCTAAACCCTATAGCACAACCCAAAACCCTAAACCCTAAACCCTCGTAAGCTCTTAACCCTAATCCCTAAACCCTGGCGAACCCTAAATCCGGGTCTCGGCCGGGTCACGGCCGAGTCTCGGCCAAGCGTAAATCCTTAACCCTAAGCCCTATGTCCTAAACGCTTAACCAAAAACCCCTAAACCTTACAACCAAGTCCTTAACCCTAAACCACAACCCTAAACCCTAAACCTTACGCCCAAAGCCTAAACCCTAAACCTTACACCCAAACCCTAAACCACAACCCTAAACCCTAAACCTTACACCCAAACCCTAAACCCTAAACCGTAAAGCTTCAACTCTAAAACCTTAGGAGTCCCCAGCGAGCTCCGGCCAATCGTTCTTTCCAGTACTCCTGGCAAACTGTTCTCCAAAATTCTCCTTACCAGGCTCCGGAGTAGTTTCCCACCCCCTGTAGCCAACCAACTCTGCGGGATTGCTGGATCACAAACCCTTGACGGTTCCTGCTGCTTACAGCATTTTGTCAGACTTAGCCAGGAATTTGGTTTGCCACTTATCGCGATCAAACTTGATATTCGCTCTGCATTTGATAACCTCAGCCATCATGCAGTTGCTAGATTTCTGCGACATTGTGGCCCCAAACTAGAGTCCCTAGCTCTTTTGTCTATGATCATCTACAGCTCGGTCAGTGTTTCCATCTCCGATGCCTCGTGGGTTCAGAACCTCGAAAGGGGGATCCTTCAAGGTTCTCCCTACAGTGCAGAAATATTTGCACGTACCCTTGATTATTATTTGGGGGGCCTTACTAATCTCTGGTTCGACGAAGAGGAGACCTGGATTCAGTGTTTTGATCCGGGTGGGGTCTTTCGTAAGATTTTTCGCTGACGACCTTATACTCCTCGCCACCTCCCACGCACAGGCTGCCCGTATGCTTCAGCAGGTTATCGCTACCTTCAACGCCATAGGTTTGACCCTTTCCCTCCCGAAATGTAAGTTCATCGCTTCCCCTGACTTGCCTAAACGGTCTATCTATGCCGGCACTGTCCCCATCCCTCAAGTTCCGGGGTTTAAGTTCCTGGGTGTCCTGATTGGATTCGGTGTCACGTGCCAGACAGTCCTCGCTGCGCGACTCTCCAAAGCCACTAACTCCTTCTGGGGCTTCTACAAGATCCTTTGTAGAACTACTGCACCAATCAAACAACGCCTGAATCTTTTCAACACTTTTATTACTAGTCGATGGCGTTGGATGTCTCCCACTGTTCGGCCTATTCTAGCTATTAGTCAAATGCTCAAGACTCTGCATACCAACTTCCTCTCCTCTCTTTTTAATCTTGCCAAAGATGCTTTCATGACTGGGGTCGAGAATTGGGTTTGCCGTAGGAGGGGGGCCAGGATGGCCGCTCAGTCCCTTCAACATGCTTCTTGGGAGGGAATTCAAGCTAAAGCGTTCTTTACTTACTGGGGGCACACTGCACGCATTCATCTTTACCGCTATTCGCCCATCTCTGCCGCACTGAGAATTCGAGATGCCCGTTGGGCTTGCCGTGCATGTGTCAACACTCGGCGTAAGCCTGGTAGGTGGCCGAATTCATGTCGCTTTTTGCAAGTCCTCTGGGACAAAAGCAGACCCATTGGAGCGCCACCCTTCTGGGATGACGCAGCAACTGATAGAGATACATGGCGTACATTCACGCAAACCTGGCTAGACCAACGCAATCTCAACCCTCTTCTGTATTACTCTGACCTACATCGGGTCGACCTTCACGGTAGGTGTCTTCTTAGAGTAGGCGATGTTTTCCGTCTTCTTCCTATGAGGCATGAACCGGTTGAAGCTCCCTACACCTCCCCCTTCGTGTCTCTGCCCGCCCCAATTGATGTTGATGATTTACATTACATTCAGGTTTGTAGTGATGGTAGCAGCAGACAACGCAAGGGGGGCCTAGCTGTTGCCATTCTTGCCCCATATTCTGAACTTGATCAAGCTGTTGTCTGTAGTGCCAAAATAGAGGGTGACTGCACCAACATAAGAGCCGAGGTCCTTGCCTCCATCAGGGCCCTTAAACTCATTAGGGAGCTTCGGCGACATCTTGGATCACATATCCCTATCAAATTCATGACAGACTCCAGTTTTGTACTGCAGATACTCAGCGATGCCATCAAACCTACCATTTACGCAAGCGAAATCAATGAGTTGTATTCGTTATGGTCTGACCTCTGTAGCACGGTTATAGCTGTACATGTAAAAGGACATGCCGGACATGCACTGAACACCTTAGCTGACTATGCAGCCAAACAAGCATTGTACCTGCAGCATTACCGTGTCACGTACCGTACTGCTGATTTCAGTCGTGCACACATTCTCCAACCTGCATGCTCACCGCCCCCACTGCACACATGGCTTGCATGACCTCCACTGTCCAGCGACCTGAAGCTTTGTCCTTCCTAGGAGTTGCAGGGAAGGGGGGGGGGCAGGGCAGCAGCCTGTACTCTCGAGTGACGAAGCTCTGAACCTTGTCTTGCCTGACCTCCTGGTTTTGGAGATCATGCACTTTCAGATGGATGCCATGTTTTTGTGGACCCTTGCTGCACTCATGTCCGCCCCGGTGCTCTACGCACTGAGCAAGCATGGGAGTCGCATGCTACAGAGCCTACGTGAGTGGTGCAAACAGCCACCGGCCTGGCAGATTGTCTTGGAGCAAATGCAACAAGACACCCTCCACCGAATGCATGATCTGCTGGAGGAGCGACTGCGATTGCAGTCACAATCCCACCAAGAGCATCTCGTGGAGAATCTGGATGTGCTGCATGCTGCGGTTAAGTCGGGTGCACAGCAGGTGACTCTGGATGGGGCTCAGCTGAAGCAGATCAAAGACATGCTCAGCCAAGAGTCTAGTGACACCCGTAAAGCAGTGATCCTCCACAAGGACCTCCTGGACGATGTGGCGAAGCAGCAGAAAGTCCTGGAAACCTTGCAAGATGGAAGCCTTGCACAGGTTCGCGAGGTGTTGCAGGATCAACAGGCGGGGACTCGGCAGATCTGTGACCGGGCTACTGAACTGTCGGACAAGATGATTGCACTGGACAGATTGGTCGATGCCCTTTCTGGAAGCCTCCAGAAGATGTCGAATGAAAGCCATGTTGGGTTCACCCGCGCGGAGCAAAGGGGGGAGAAAAACCACTCAATGATGGTGTCCGAGACAGGCAGTATCCAGAGCTACGTCAATACGGCAATTCCACTTATCAGGGGTGCCAAGGAGAACACGGACAAAACTGTCCAAGGCCTGGCTGAGCTGGCAAAAGAGTGTGATGGACTGAGACACAGGGTCGATGACCTACCGATTGACGCCATCATGCGTCACCTTGGCAGCACCGAGCACATCGTGGGTGAGATCCGCGAAAGCTTGGATGTCACAAGTCGGGTGCAAGAGCTCGATGAACGTCTGATGGAAAGATTGCCGAAGCTTCCGGCGCGAAAGCCACCGAGCCAAACTGGTGGAGCCAGCATAGGCACCAATACAGACAGAGAGCCAGAGACCATCCGGCTTCAAGAAGCAGTGCCTGCCTCGTCGTCTCAGCCGATTTTTGTAAGTACAGCGCAGCCTTTTATCATGGCGCCGCCTCCGGGTCAGGGTGCACCCTTGATCATCACGCAGTCACAACAGGATGCACTGCAGAGGCATGGTGGCCACTACGTGTTCCGAGGATGAGATGAACACATCCTTGCCCACACATGTGCTCCGTCGCCCTGTAATGTACTTGACCTTCATGCCCCAAACCTCTATAGGCTTAACCTGTAGTCTGGGAACAAGGAGCAAAGTGGGTAAAGCGCCTTTCTTGAGCACCAGCAACCAGCATGTGAATTTAAGCAGCATGTGCATGTCGTGAATCCTGCCTGTTTTTCACTCTGCATGGCACTGCGAGCCTGTCACTACGACGATCTGCATGGCACCACGACGTCCAACAAGGACGACCACGAATTGCATGACACGAACTTTTGCATGATGCACTTTGCACACACTTTCGAATTTGTTTGTATTCATATGAATTTGTTCGTATTCATATGAATTCCGCTGCAACATGCTGGATGTGCTCACCGATGTGCTTGACACAACGTATAGTGGCTGCGCCGCGACAAAACGAAGGACTTTCGGAGCGAGTGTATGCAGTTGAGATGTGCTTGTCCTGCGAACTCCACGATGCCAAAAACATGTAGCTGTAGCTTGGAGCTTAGTTCTGCACCTGAGCTTCTTTTCAGACGGCATGGGCTCAACAGGTAGTGTATACCACTAGTCGGGCTGATCTTTAACCAGGATCGACTGTCATGCAGGTTGGTCATGTCTTGAGGGTCCGTCGCCTAACTGGTCCCACCACTGCCCCCTGCCCTGATCCCGTGCCCGACGAAACCGTTGAGCCTCCGAACTCCAAAAGGCCCAGGCTTCCCTTGGAACACTCAACAGCTAACCTGGACCCTTCGAAGTCGGAACAACCAGCTACCACATGTTTTTGTACTTGTGTTGAGAGCGCTGCAGCACAGCTCCTGTGTAGACCCGAAGATGCCCCAATCCAACACTCGGACATCCTCACACTTTGGTCGATGATCCCGAAAGCCAAGCGCCTACGCCCGAAGCCCTCCCAACAGCCGCAGCAACCTCACAGTGAACCGCAACGACAGGAGATGACATATGCTGTATTTGGACAGAGCCCACGGACTCCGAATCAAATCACACATCACACTTTTGAGTTCAGCAAGACCACCAAGGTCCTGACACGTTTTGTGAGGTCGTGGGCCCCTAACTTCATGTTTTCCACTGGTTGCTGTGGTTGCTAATGGACATAAAGGCCCACATCGTGACTTGAATAATTTTGAGGGACTCTCCTTCCTGACGTGTCTCACGAAACAGGAAGGGGGAGACTTGTGGACCCACTGTCCAGGTGGAGACGTGCCTGTGGGTCACTATGGATCCACATTGTGGGGACATGTAACTGAAATACAACATCAACCCATCTTGTTCCCCAGTCGCAGTGTACTACACATGGCCACACCATGGAAAGGTAGCGTTAGAGTGACACTCATTGCCTTCAACTCCATACATTCCCGTAGCCTGTGTACCTCCAACCTCAACCTCCTTCGCAAGGTCTGGCTGTTCCATGCACCAGGGTCCGAAGATTTGAGGAATTGGAGATTGAAGTTTGGACTTCAGAAAAGCATCAAAGAGTATGGGGTTGTTGTCAGTACGAATGCGCGGGGATGCAAAACGTCAGCAGGTGCCCTGATCACTGTTGAAGACGAAGACAGAAGAGAGACGGATGAGAAAGAAGAGTAAACATGCAGGCAGGACAAAAAGCACCATTTGGTGTACCAGTGGAATCGTCCTAACCGGAAATCATCAAAAAACATATAAAAACTTAAATCTTTGCAAACTCCACTGGACCCGGATGTGGCTTTGCTGTCTTCTCTCTCTCGCCTCCTCACTCCCTCCTTCTGTCCCCTGTTGTGTCAACTTGCGTCGAATTACGGTTGTTTAGGAATGTTCTTATCATGGGTGTATGGGTGCGCCCCCAGGGGCTATGGGCCTTATATATGCAGGGAACCTGGACCCCCTTGTCCCAACCTGGTTGCTACTTCAGGGCTTTAGTGACGCCAGCGTGCCATGGTTCAGTCATGACACCTTGCCTGGCCAAGGGCAAGGCTTGCCCTCTTACTGGCATATCCTTTCTGCCCTCGTCCTGCCCTGAGCAACATGCACGAGAGTGGACAACACAAGCTGAGCAGTTTGGGTCTGCATCGCGTTTGGGCCCTGCGCTATGTCTCCAAAAGCTTGCAATACTGACACCGTGACGACGGTACGGTGGGGATGGAGCTGTGTGACCATGGAGTGATGGAGCAAGTGTCCCGAGCTGACACATGGGGATAGTTTCACGAATATCTGAATTTGGGAATTTGCCTCTGAATTTGGGAATTTGACTGCTTGCGAATTTGTTCTAACCGACATTGCAGACGGATGCATGATGACCTGGTCACTTTGGAGGCCGCGCTACACAGATGCAGAGACACTGGATGGAAGGAATTCACGAATTCAGATGAATTTCTATACAAGATCCGCACTGATTCAATGCATGGAGAACGACTTCTGCGAGAAGGAGTTTCTACATTGAGGACATCTCATGTCCTACAAGCCTGCCTGACTGGCCCTGCTCGACTGCAAGAAACAAAACCCTGGATCTGCTTATGTGTAGTGTGGCACGGACTTCATATATTGGACTGTCTGCATACGGTCTGCGAGCTGCATGGATTGCAACATCTGCATGGATACAACTTTGCATGGATGGCATGGATGCATTGTAGCATGGCGGCTTGGCCTTGTGACTGCTGGCTACTGATGGCGTGTGATGGGTGACTGCATGTTCTTGATTGGGCGATGTGCAGGGAGGACCTCACGAGAACTGAAGGATGACGATCTGCTTCGAGCTGCACCCCTTAACCGGGGAGGGGGCAAAAGTACAAACAAAGTGGCGTGAACGAGTGTGGAGTGAGCTGACTGTGAATAGCTGATTGAGCATTTTGCATGTTGCATGAAGCCGTGAAGCTTTGACGTGTGTAACACATGTGCCTGGCTTCAGGTTCCTGAACTCCAAAGCTTGAGTGCATCCTTAGCTGTATAGAACCAACTGATTGTGGAACCATGATTGTACCCTGCATCGTAGGTTCGTCCTAGCCAGGCGGGAGGCAAAAACCCTCCTAAGCCGTTAACCCTAATCCCTAAACCCTGGCGAACCCCGAAAAAGGGTCTCGGCCGGGTCTCGGCGGAGTCTCGGCCAAGCGTAAATCCTGAACCCTAAGCCCTATGTCCTAAACCCTTAACCCTAAACCCCTAAACCTTACAACCAAGTCCTTAACCCTAAACCAGAACCCTAAACCCTAAACCTTAGACCCAAAGCCCAAACCCTAAACCACAACCCTAAACCCTAAACCTTACACCCAAACCCTAAACCCTAAACCGTAAAGCTTCAACTCTAAAACCTTAAACCCTCCTAAGCCGTTAACCCTAATCCCTAAACCCTGGCGAACCCCGAAAAAGGGTCTCGGCCGGGTCTCGGCGGAGTCTCGGCCAAGCGTAAATCCTGAATCCTAAGCCCTATCCTAAACCCTTAACCCTAAACCCCTAAACGTTACAACCAAGTCCTTAACCCTAAACCACAACCCTAAACCCTACACCCAAACCCTAAACCCTAAACCAGAACCTTAAACCCTAAACCTTACTCCCAAACCCTAACCCTAAACCCTAGAGCACAACCCAAAACCCTAAACCCTAAACCCTCGTAAGCCCTTAACCCTAATCCCTAAACCCTGGCGAACCCTAAATCCGGGTCTCGGCCGGGTCTCGGCGGAGTCTCGGCCAAGCGTAAATCCTGAACCCTAAGCCCTATGTCCTAAACCCTTAACCCTAAACCCCTAAACCTTACAACCAAGTCCTTAACCCTAAACCAGAACCCTAAACCCTAAACCTTAGACCCAAAGCCCAAACCCTAAACCACAACCCTAAACCCTAAACCTTACACCCAAACCCTAAACCCTAAACCGTAAAACTTCAACTCTAAAACCTTAAACCCTCCTAAGCCGTTAACCCTAATCCCTAAACCCTGGCGAACCCCGAAAAAGGGCCTCGGCCGGGTCTCGGCGGAGTCTCGGCCAAGCGTAAATCCTGAACCCTAAGCCCTATGTCCTAAACCCTTAACCCTAAACCCCTAAACCTTACAACCAAGTCCTTAACCCTAAACCAGAACCCTAAACTGTAAACCTTAGACCCAAAGCCCAAACCCTAAACCACAACCCTAAACCCTAAACCTTACACCCAAACCCTAAGCCCTAAACCGTAAAGCTTCAAGTCTGAAACCCTAAACCCTCCTAAGCCCTTAACCCTAATCCCTAAACCTGAACCGTAAAGCTTAGAACCACAGCCGAAACATGTGTATGTAGAACAACAGACAAAAAAGACATTTTGACACACAAAAAAAAGACATTTTTGACCCCAGACTCCAAAGTACATGTAGAGAGATAGTTGGAGTACATATGCATCTACACAGATGTACATAACCAGATGCACTTGTAATGTGTTCAATCTGTTTGTGGTGTCGGGAGATGTTTCTTGCATTCGATTGCAAGTTGCAGGGGTTCACAGGCTGGTTGCGCTTTGAGGACGTTCGGGTTTGCGGGGTCGGACTTCGCGCAACTCAGTTCCAATAAAGCTTGCTGCATGCCTTTCCTCAAGATCAGATCATGTCGTGTCGAGTGTAGGCATTCAGTCAACCATTGTCTACTTGCCAAGCACTTCTCTACTGCTGATCCGCATTCATCATGTCATGCATATTTCGTGATGCAATCGCACATGACGCCGCCACACGAGCACGGTCACATTCACTGAACAGCACGAATTCCTTGATCTTGCCATTTGTCTTGGAGAGTTCTGTATGGCAACATAACGTCAAGTCGAGAATGCAGACACTGCGAAGATTCTTGCAGGAGACAGCTCAGAGGCTTGCGCAAGACATCGCCAATCTCACTGAAATGCTGTTCAACTCCATGGTGTTGGCAGTGCCTGGGACCTTGGAATCTCTGAGTGGGCCTGGAACAGCAGCGTCGTAGTGCAGGTCGCGAATATCTGCACGTAGGGCCTGTTATTGCCGCACCATCGCTACCACGTGAACGAAGCCAGAGCGTACATGCATGTGCGTGCGGATGTCGGTGCGCGCGCGCGTGCGTGCATGCGTGCGTGCGTGCGTGCGTGCGTGCGTGCGTGCGTGCGTGCGTGCGTGCGTGCGTGGGTGTGTGTGTGTGCGTATCCATACATACTTACATAGATACATGTAACATCCATGCATCCTTGCATGCCTGTGTGCCTGCAGGTTTGCACATATGAATATACTGTTTATGTATGTATGTAGAAATGCATGTATGTACGAAGGTATGCATGCATGCATGCATGTGTGTATGTGCGTATGTATGTATGTATGAATGTATGTATGAATGTATGTATGTATGCTGTATGTATATATGTATGTGTGTATGTATGTGTGTATGTATGTGTGCATGTATGAATTTATGTATGTCTGCATGCCTGCAGACATGCATGGCTGGCTGGCTGGTTGGCTATGTGTATGTATGTATGTATGTATGTGTATGTCTATGTATGTGTATATGTATATGTAGGCATGCACAATGACATGTTTATGCGTGCGTCGTGTGTGTCGTGGTAGTAAGGCTATGTGCATTTAGCATGCACGTCTATCTGATATAGTTCTTGAGTTCCAGGCATAGGTTGAAGGCGGCGGTACACTGACTGGGAGCCTGTTGTGCCTTACGCTTCCAAGGTGGACCTGTTCAACAACGAATCCACGGCCTGTGACCTTGTCTCGTCTATGTCCGGGGCCGAATGGCACGCCTTCATCGACACTCTGGGTCAGCTCAGGCTTGAGACACAGCCGCTGGGCTTGCGTTTGAACGGCCGACATATGAACAATCTCGGATGCCGTAATTCACTAAATCACGAAATGTCGAAATGTATGTCCAAGCCTGTCGCTTCTTGGTGTCAGCAGTCGCGCGAAAAGTGCAAGACCTGTTGGGTTCCAGGTCAGCATTGGCAGCCCCAACAACCACAGCAGCTGCTCAAACCATAAGCGTAACCATAAGCACGAGTAGCCACAACATTCACAACAGCAGCAACAGGAATGGATTAGGAGCATCTCTGGACACTAGCTGCATCCTTGTCAGCTCCACCCGTTGCTGCAAGTAGTGGCCAACTCAAGAAACATTCCCCAGCCGCCAACCCGCCAAGGCAGGTAACCCAGCATTTTATGCAAGTCGCTCTCGGGTCAAACGTGCACACCAGCAAGGTGGAGATCACTGCCGCTGTGCTGCAAAGAGCTTCGGGTTAAAGGGCAGGACTGACCTTGAACAACCCTTCAATAGTTTTGAACTTGTCAGGGGCCATTAACTTTGTTTGTCGCCAAGCCGGGAGACAGCCTGATTCCTTGAGACGCCGGATGCAGATTTTGAAGGCATTACGGCTAGAGAGGTTGAGTATCAGTTTGAGTTTGCCCTTCAGTTGTCAACATCCGTCTTCTGTGCCTACAGGCTTTCAGCTTCGATCCCTGGTGCAGACGACCGGCACAGCATGCAAATCTTTCAACAAAGCTCTCCATCGCCTCGTTTGGGAAACGTGAAGACAGATCCAAGCCCCCTGCCAAGATGCGATCCGAATAAGGCACGACTGAAAAACAAAACTCAGCAGGAGGCCTATTGATTTTCAATCTGGGGCATGTAGAAAGTCACGGGCCGCGAATGACTCTTGGGGGACACTCCAAAAGACCAGCCTCAATCCTGTGCTCGTGGCCGGATCGGACTTAAGTTCCATGACGCTGGGACCCCGGCCCTGAACATAGAGCTGGTGGACGATTGCGGTCAAGAGACAATCCCAGGGTAGCCATCAGCCATAGGCGGGCGTATCAGTACTATTGCACTTCCGAACTGTGTCTTCCTGTGCCATGTGCCATAGAACGGCGCGCTGAGACCCCGAGCGCGGAACTCAGGTTATGATGTCATCGGCCTCGCAGAGGCTGCGTAGCCTCATCGAGGGACGAAAAGAGCAAGGGATACCATCACCGCCAACACAAGGAGCCAAAGCAGTAATTATTTGCATTGCATCTACGGAGCTGTTTTCAGTGCTGAGTTATTGGGCTGACGTGGGGTGCTTCGCGAGATCTTCTGGAGAATAATATGGATGAGAGACAGGAGCCCGCTTTCCATGTTGTTGCCATCATGCTTGCCTGTTCTCGTGCACCGTTGTTGACTGCACTTTTGATATCCGCAGCTCCGCACCCCAACACCGGCATCCCGACAGGAAACCCATCCGCAGCGAACGTAGGTAGGTCCAAAGTCTGGGACCTTGAGCCCCAATTCAAGCCCCCAGACTCCAAACCCTCGGACCTCCTACACTCCAAAAACGAACCGACTTGTCCGAGCCCTTGACCTGAAAAGCCGGGCCAGACCTACTATTACTAAACAAAAATGATGACCCCAAAGTCCTAAATTAGCTCAGGGGTGGTGGACCAGCTGCTTGTTGGCGTGGAGACGTGGAGCATGCTGGAAACGGAGTTGACGCAGGCAGTTCGAAGTGAGGCGGCCTGGGTTCGGAGAGGGTGCTGTGAGGTTCTTTCAGGCTTTTCGCTTTCGGTTTCCGATTCGCAGCTCCATGTTCGGAAAGGTAGCATTGAGGGTCGTCGCAGAAAACTGCACCATGACAGCTTTTGTTGACGAGTAGCAGAGAGAAGCTTGGACGATTCGGGCTGCAAGGCTTGTGTTTTGTCTCAGTACTTTTAAGACTAAATGTATTTCGTTGTAATTACTCAAATGTACTCGTTTCTTTTGATTTGAGTTCTGTATGCCTGTGTATCACTTTGAATATGTGTATGCCAAGCTATATGGGATGTTAGAACGCTTAAGTTGCGCCGCCTCTCATCGTCAACCCACGGATTGAGAGATGCATTATTCCTTCGCTTCGGTGCTGCTTGGCTAAGAACCCGAGCTATCTATCTCCTCACCCGGATCAAGTCCCCATAGTATAGCCCTCTATAGTTTGTTGCTAATCGGCCCTGGCACCAGTGGATCCCGATCATACGCCGTCCAAAATTTCAAGCTAGAGACCTTCAGCACTCAGCCTCAGCATGTCAGGCTGTCTCGCCGATCACGGTGGACCGGGTCGCACTGCTCAGCGGGGACTTGCTCGACCAGCTCTCTTCTGTCATGGATATGACTCTCAAGGACTGTTCAGAGCTCCGAGTTTTCTATCGCCTGTCGCACGCTGTTTGAGCCTCATGTGCCGCCTACTGGAACTGGCAACAGGCCCCTGCATTGGAGAAGCCCCATGTTCCATAAGCCGAGTTTGCGTGAATACATGATGGCCTAGGGACGCTCATTGGCGAAAACACCTGCAATTCAAGCAGCCACATATCACTCAGGAAGCCGTTTTCACTCCAAAGCATTCACGATAGTTCTGCTTCACGGTGATATGGGGGTCAGTGTTTAGGTCTCCGGAACAGGAACATTTACCCGACAAAAATGTCAGAGAGGAAGCCTGGCGAGCCAGCCCAGACACAGCTTCCTACCTGCTGGACCTCACTAGCAAGCAGGCGATGCGCTTGCAGCTTCTCAGAAATGCGCATGTAGGATTCCGGGCTTATTTCCTTAGCACTGCAGGCCACTCCCCAGTTGGTTCCACAACTTTCTGCGGGACTAGGTTTGCGTCTTGCACAGCGTGTTACAAGTGCTGTTCCCGCCGCAATTCCCCATCTGCAGCTTTGGGGCCATTTGCTGTTGTGGTTTGCGCAGGCCTAGACACATTGTCGGAAGTGAACGAGACTTGTAGCCAGTTTGGGTAGACTGCTATTGGTGGTTACTGTATGGGCTTCTGGCAGTTGAGCCTCTGACAACAATGAGGTCCAGACTGTCCAAGGAGGCAAGCCTGGCGCACTATGGGTCGCTCGCCAAACACCGTGCTGTCTAAGATGTCTAAGGCCCCTACAGGTACTTCAGGCGTACTGGCTCTAGGGCTAGGTTAACCATGTGCTGAACGGTGTACCCCGATAGAACCAGAAAAGTGATGTGTGACTGGTCCTGTTGCTGGTTTTCACGAGCTGCCTCTTCAAAACAAGCCCATGGGCACCAAGTCATCTAACCCTGTGGACATCAGGTTCTCATCAGAGGGCATGGTTCTGTGGCTGAGGAAAGTTGGTAGCGATCGCAGCTGCCTTCTGACAAATGGCTGTGCAACCTAAGGATAAAACCGGAGCAGAATTGGTTGGCACTAAATGCGTCCCGCGATTCCTTCGTGGCCACGCATCACATGCTTTTGGTGGGTTCGCCTGCTCAGAATGCCACTCCGTCTTTGCCGAAGCGCTCCCAGCTTTGCATCATCCGGCTCATGCACCAGGCGGTACTAGTATGTGCACAGTTGGAGTATAGTGTAACTGGTTGTTGACCTGCTAGCACCACGAAAATGGCGGGGTGCCTTGAGTCAAGGGCCTTGAGGTTTGGGGGCAGGACTTGGGATGTAGGGTTGGTGGAAGCATCGACGCAACAGGTGGACGAGTTTTACCAACAGCTCCAGGAGGCGGCTTTAGCTGTGGCTCATGGCCACTCGCCATGTAACGGGGGCCTGACGCTTAGGCCGCTGGCCTGGTCTTGTGGGATTCAATTTCGAACTTCCACTGTCGCCTTAAGTTCGAGATACAGAGTCAAATAGTATTAACAAGTAGCAGAAGTAGTGGCAGTAGCAGCAGCACCAGTGGCAGTACCAGTACCAGTCTACAGTAGTAGCAGAAGCGCTTGGCAAGCAAAAGCAGACGCAGTAGAGCTCCGGCTTTTGCAGAAGTGCGAACAGCCTTCACCGCCATTTAACAAACCTCAGCCTAACCTTGTTCCTCAAGGCAGCTTCGAGAAAGTCTCGGACCTTGGCCGGCTGAACCCACTTGCCCAAGAGGCCATGGCAGCTGCTTCGAAGGCGGCGCAGACAAAGCAATGGACCGGTCTTTGGTTCTCTTTGTCATTTTGATGGCTGTGGCTGCACGGTTGTCATCACTTGCGTGCGAGAGCTTGCCGTCACTCACGAATGCCGCAGGGTAATGGCCACGAAGTATTGTGGGACCCAGGTGAAGGACTATGCATGCATCCTTATAGGTAACCTCCGATACATCCGAAGTGGGACCTACGAAACCGGAAGCTTAACTGTCCAGGGCAGGGTGACTACTCCGGAAACCTTCCTGCCATCAACGCTGAAACGCGGCACTTGCACAGCTGCGATCGGGGCGTCCACCAAGGCTGCTGGCACAACAGGCAGTCTTCACACTACTTCTTTACGATGTCGATGATGACGTTGATGATGTTGATGATGACGATTATGATGATGATAAAAAAGAAACCATTAGCACGGTTGGGTTCACTGTGAGTCCTTGTCATTGAGACGCTTATTATCACGCTTTCCTTGTCTCTAAGCATGAAAATCATCATCATCATCATCACCACCTGCCTTGCTCTCTCCTCCTCCTCCTCCTCCTCCTCCTCCTCCTCCTCCTCCTCCTCCTCCTCCTCCATAGCCTTCAACAGCACACCATCATTGTCATCATCGCCATCGCCATTATGATCACAGTACCGGGGCTCTTTTTGTTTTTGCCCTCTCGGTTGTTTTTGCCGCCTGACATCTTTTTGTTGACTCCCCTCTGCTCCCGTTTCACCCTCCTCTCTCGCACCGTCCACCCCTGTCTTGTGTTCGACACTTCGTGTGTTCTTTTTGAACCCCCGGCCCCTTTCTGCGACTCCCCCGCATCTCCTGCCAGAACCGACCCTGACGTGTTTTCTGCGACTCCCCTCTTCTTCTCCACGCGCTCTTCTCCGAGCCGCGAGCGCCCGAACCCGGCTCGCTCCGCAACCGGCCCCCGCAACCTGCTCCGGAACTCCGGATCCAGTTCCGGAGCCCGCTCCAGAGGCTCCCAAACCGCTCCGGAATCCGCTCCAGACAAAAGAGAGCAGGCCGCTCGAACTGGACCAGAGCTTGTGAGAACATCAAGCAAACGGTTGGGAACCTACTGAAGCTTTTGAGAAGCAGAGGAAATCCGCTCGAAAGGGACTGAAGTATTTAAGAACCACGGTCATTCTTTCGAAGAGGACCGGCATTCCAGTCAGGAACAAACTGCCCGAAATGGTTTAGATCTCTGCAGAATACGGAGCAAACCGCTAGAATGGGGCTGGTGCATGTCAGCGCTTTGGCAATCGAAGGGAGCAAACCGCTCGAAAGACACTAGAGCATTTGATAGATAGTACCGCTCGCTGCTCGCATGGCGCCAGAGCAGCTGAGAAGAGCGAGCCCGCCGCTCCAAAGGGACTAGAGCCATTGAGAAGAAAGTCGAGATACAGTGCATCTCGCCGGAAACATTCTAGGGCATTGATGGATGGGAACAAGCAGTTCGAAAGAGCCTATTATAAAGCATGTGAGGGACAGGGGCAAACTGTTCTAAACGCACCAGAGCGTTTGAACAACAAGCGCAAACCGAAAGACACTAAAGCAGTCAGTCGCAGATCGCTCAAGCCACTCGAAAGGGACCAGAGCACATGAGAACAGGCAGTAATGGCGAAAGGGCCGAGAACCTTTTGGAGGATAGCAAACAGGACTGGAGCGTTTGAGAAGCAGAAACAAACCCGTCGAAAGAAGTAAAGCGTGAGTTCATGAGACTGAAGCAGATTAGGGTGTATGAGAAAGACCAGCACACCGCCTTCAAATGGACTAGAACGCTTAGCAGGAGAAAAGCAGCTAACCGCCCGAAAGGGATTAGAGCTTATTGAATTTGACAAACGGAAAAACAGCACGACGGGAATTAGATTATGAGAAAACGATACAAACCGCTCGAAAGCGGCTAGAGAGTGGCCTGAGCGCTCTCTTCAACACCATCTACCTGATGAGCATCATGAGTGCTGATATTATATTGTCATCTGCCGTCAACATCAGCGGCATTATCATCATCAGTAGCCTTGGTATTCTGTTGTTATCTGCAGTTAAGAGTGCGGCTCCAGGCGAAGCTCATAAGTTGCCAGTAGCATGGACTCGGATGCAGCAGTGGTGTATATGTAGGGTTGATGCAATGCAGGCTTTGGTGGACGGAGTGTGCGACAACAACACCGGAGAGGTGGAACTGCAAGCTTGGCTCGAACTCCATCAGGACGGCGTGTCCGAGAGCGAGATTGGAATGAATTGAACAGCTTTGGCAGAAGTCCATGTTTCGGAACCAGCTTGCAGGCGCAACTACGTCGCTCGGACGCTGCCTTCATGACCCCGTGAAAACGCTCAGAGCCTGCCCGTAACCTACCGCCCCTACATTGCATTAAGCCCTCAGCCAGAACCGCAACCCCCTACTTGCGGAAACGCCATCGAACACGAATGGCAGGATGGAGAGTGTAATTCTCAAATAGAACCCTTCCTTTTCGTCTGCGTGCATCTCGCGCGCAAGCCGCAGTGGCATGGGGCATGCGGTTGTGTGGCCTCAGGCCAGGGATCGTCCAAACGGCCAAACGGCAAGCTTCCATGGCCCAGAAACCGCTCATATTCGCAGACACCCGCAGAGACACTTGACCCCCTTGAACCGAAACATTATCCCCGATTCCTATAAGTATTCCTCTGTCTTCACCCCCAAGGCCCTTCAACCCCCAAACCACCAGGAGGCCGCTGATTTGGCAAGGCTCAGCCAGGATGCCACAGCCTCCTTCATCCTCGCCCAGCAGGCGGCACAGTTCCCGAAGCTTCCTTCCTCACTGTCACGCGTGCCTCTGCTGTCACGTCGTTGCAGAGGGATTGTTATTCTTCTTGGCCCTGCTGCTGCACAGACATGCCCGGCAACCGAGTCGTCACAGTTAGGGGATTGCTTTGACTTGATTGCCATAGCCATGCATGCTCTGAACAGCCCAAGTATTCGCAGACCTAGAAACAGATGCGCCGCGCAGAATAGAGAGGCAGGGAGACAGAACCAAAATCGCCGGTACACCCACAGTATCTCGTGTTTACATAGCGTTTTTTAAGAGATCTGAACCCTGTGACCGCCTTCCAGAAAGCAGGAAGGCGGCGGAAGGTTCAGCTCTCTGAATGCGGCGGCGACCGACGTGGAAGCGTCGCTTCACAGGCTGCCGGGCGCCGGTAGATGTCGCAGGTGTCTTGCAGGCTTCAAGTCCAAGACTTCACGTAGCTGCAGTATATCTGAACAATAAGTGAACCCATCTGAATCCCAGTCGCATAAACCATTTCGGTGACTCGGCTCTAAAGGCCAAGAGTTGCTCTCGTACCCTCGTCCTTCGTTTTCCGAGCCCTCGATCCTTGAACTTAGCCAGGAGGTCGGGAGGGTCAGACCAACAGCTGAAGTGTTTGCCTGGCAGGTCCTTAGCCGAAGACTTACTAGTAACGCACGGTAGATGTCAACCTGCATTACTTAAACTCGTAGATGCCTCAAGTCATGTTTTTTCAATCGTATGTTTATCATTCTGCACTGCATTTGTTGCTGCCGCTGCGAATGATTCAACAGAAGTGCGCAAGACCTAAGTTCTGCAATGCTAACACAGATGCGTGATGCTATGTGAATTTTCAGCTGTTCATCGAAAGGACTGACAAGCTAGTTCCCTCTACATGCACCAATCTCGCGGGGTGGGCGAGGTCATTGTCGGAGATGTCGTACAAATGCTTATCTCGCAGATGTTTATCTTGCAGGTTAAGGCAGTGCCGTAGAACAGATACTGTGAGAGTTTATCTACTGTCTAAACATGCACGTAGTCTGGATTCGGTCTTCGACACCCGGAAGCCCGGAAGCTAAATCCCGAGCTTCTCTCAACCCTTTCAGTCCTGGAACACAATCTTGGAATCTGCACATCCCTCTGCCAGCAGCCCGAATCCAGCAGGCTGATGTTCGGATCATGGGTACCCCATGTGGCCTCGCCACCGACGCAAGCCCTATTGGACCACATTCTCTCTACTTTAGGGCCTGTCGTGGAGAGGCCTGCGCTGTGGGCTTTGGGGGTCCAGTCCGGGTCGTTAGGGCATGCTCGTTGCGGAGCGTGACTCTATATCGACTGGAAAGATGTACGCCCTCAACTAGGTAACTATGCAGGTGTGCTAGTCCCTGCTGTTTCACAGCCTTTCTTGACAGCACAATCAATATTCGTACGGCGCCTCATTGAAGCGCATGCACATTCAGACTCAAAATCCGAAATCCATGACAGAAAAACCGCATGCTATCGATTTCCCTTGCTGTAGTGGTTTCGACTTCGGTGATCCAAACAACTGAGGATAATAAAGAGACGCCAGCAGCAGTTGCATTAGTGCTAGGGCTATATAGCTAGAAGTCTTCAGTCTGCGGGTTCGAGGTTTGATCTCCAACTTCCAGGGTCAGTGAAGTCGCAAGTGTCTAGCTCAGGGTATGTTTCAAGTGAACCTATGAGGACCTCGGTGCATGCACTTGTTGCGTGTGCTTCGGATCTGGAGGACCTGACCCTTCCCTGCAGGGCCAGGAGTGCCTTTAGGGTCAAGTGCTTCGGGGAGGGGGATGTTTCATCAAGGGAGGTTCAATCATCGTGAGGTTGTGCCGGGCAAAGTTCAACATTCACTTCTCGTTGGGACGGAGGTTATGTAAGATCAGACATGTCCAAAGCCCTTGTCCGAATTCCGCTTGCCTTGCATCGAAATGTCACTTTAACCACCTTAACCCTGCAGCTTACCGAGCACCAGAAGTGCAGGTTCGAGGCAGCTTTGGCTGGGACGGATGTGTTGAGTGTGGAGGCTGCAGGTTTGAGCCTGCTCAATGCAGCGGAGGCTTGGGGCTTGCTGTCATAGCTGCCGTGGTGGCATTACCACGTAGAGTAGAAGTCGTGGTAGTGTCAGCAGCAGCAGGAGGAGTACTAGTAATAGTAATGGCGCTGTCGTACAAGTAGTAGTAGTCGTCGTGGTGGTGGTGGTAGTAGTAGTAGAAGTAGTGGTAGTGGTAGTGGTAGTGGTAGTGGTAGTGGTAGTGGTAGTGGTAGTGGTAGTAGTAGTGGTAGTGGTAGTAGTAGTAGTAGTAGTAGTAGTAGTAGTGGTAGTGGCAGTAGTCATGGCAGTCGTAGTCGTCGCCGTTGTCTTCGTCGAAGTCATCACAGCAGCAACTGACACAGCTGTGGCTGGTCTTGTTAATTCTACCGATGATGCTGGTGTGTGTTGTTTGAGTGTAGGCAAAATGCTTGCATATAGTGGGTTTTAGCAGGCTCAGCGATATTTTACAATTTTCCACCCTTGGAGGTTACCTGAGCACCGAATTCTGAAGTTGAGCGTAGCAGGAGCTTTGCTGCCTTGGAGCATCATCCAGAGCGTCCATGTAGAGTGAAGACATGTAATTTAAGGAGTTTCTGCGTTGGTTAGCTAGCAACCGCCATGTTCGTTGATTGACTTCAAGGTGTAATTAGGGGATTCCAGACTCCCGTTCAGCCAGCGCAATCCTGGAAGTTTAAGCACTGGAGAGGCTAGCTCCACGCATCCATCCCCGTAGGCACAGGGGAGGCCCTTTGTGCAAAGTTGAGAGGCGCTCCAGGCCAAGTACCTTGCAGGGGCGATGGAGGCCGATCCCTCGTGGCCAGGAGCTGTGATGTGCTGAAGCACATGGTCTTGGGATTCAGGGCCGAAAGCTTGAAGTGTCGGCGTTCCTTGATTCTCTTGGAGGGTGTTAGGTTTGTTGTGGTGGTTCTGGGCAAGTATGCAGTCCAGTGCGTGCGGGTGATGCAGACCTGCTTTGTTTCATGCACTGCGATCCATAATGTTCAGCTACGCAGTACTGCACAGTTTTGCATTTAATGATGTACTGTTCGAGTTGTCGTTGCCACTATGCCAATGTGTAGCGGCGTGGTCTGTTTATTCTGTGGCACAGTGCATCACCACATGGGGTTGCAATAGAACTACGTACCGTGGTACATATATCAGGAACCGAAACAGCGCGCAAACATAAACTGCTCGGTGGGCTATCCTTGTAGCCCTCAGTGGCTTTCGTCGTCTCAGCTCTCCTGGCTGGCTAGCTAGCCGCCACATCCTGTAATTAGACTGCGAACGTTGCATTGGCCACCCTCAAGCCTCAAAGGTTGGACTTGATATTTTGAAGGTTTGAGAAAATTTACAATCCAGTCAAGGGTCGATATCATGAAGCTCCCTCCTGCGGCAGCTGTTGATATCCGTGTTGATAGCTTGATAGCTCGCCAGTTCCGCAAGCTACAACCCATTCGAGTCGCAACCCTGAAATTCGAAAACCAATGGCTCTAGCACGCTAGAGAGTCAGCCAAATCAAGAAAAATGTTGTTTCATTTCGCTTGACTTTCGCTGATGAGCCTCTGGCGGCTCTTTGCATTCATCTCCAGGAGCCAGAGTGGACATACTGATGTCCCAGGCCGCTTTGGCAAGCAAAGTGCTCAAAGAGACCCTGATGCACCTCTATGGCTTCAGGAAGACTGAGGCCAGCCTCAACTTGTAGCTTTGTAGTGTATTAACTTTTAACTTATGCAAGAATGCACGTAGTCTATGTTTCGACACTGCGAGAAACCTTTAGCAAATCAAGTTATATTATATACCATCATCGCATGCCACCATCAGATCTCGGGACTGGTCAAGGTGATTTCATTGTGAATTGACAGCATTGCTGCAATAAGTGGTACCCGGTTTGGGCAAGAGGTAGCAGCCCCGAATGTGCTGAACCAACAAACAATCAACCACCCAAAATCAGAAACACACACAGACACACAACCAAGCAAGCAAGCGAGCAGACTAACCAACAAACAACCAGGCAGACGAACAGACAAGCAGGCCAGCCAGCTAGCCAGCCAGCCAACAATACATCCATGCTTACTTACTCGCGTACATACGTACATACAGTTCCATACAGCTACATACAGATACGTACGTACATACATACATACATGCAAACGTACTACTCACCTACATACTACATATGTACATACATACATGCATGCATGCATGCGTACAATACATGCGAAACATAACACGCGAGACAGACACTCGAACAACAAAATCAAGCACACATGCAAGCAATCAATCAACCATACAACCAAAAGCACACAGAGCCACACACGCAAACAAGCAAGCACGCAAGCAAGCAATCACACGCAAACAAACAAAGAAAGACACAAACAAACAATCAGACACAAGAACAAAAAGGCACAAACACACACGCACACACAAACAACAAAACAAACAAACAAACAAACAAACAAATACCAACACACGCACACATAGACAGAGTCATACAGACCCACATAGACGGACGGACGGAAAGACGGAAAGACCGACAGGTCGACCGACAGACAGACAGACAGACAGACAGACAGACAGAGACACCGACGCACCGACCCGGCGCGCTGGGCGCAATCCGTGAAATGTCACGGAATGTTGGCGCCACGCAGCACACATGCGACCGGCACCAAGTGGGCGGCGACAGGACTCCATTGCCCATTTACATTAAGGAACCTTTGCGGGGCCTCCATGGCAGACTGATCCATCTCCAAGACCTGTTTGAGCAGAGGAGCACACGAGGCCATGCGAATGGAGCCCAGGATCCGGAGCTACGGTGCATCCGACCGAAGAGCCAAGGAGCAGAGGAAGAGGAAGGGAAAGATGAAGGGAATTTGAGCAAAGTTTACGGCTTTACGGCCCTGTGGCCCATCCGACCCAGGCGTGTCCCAAGTTTAGGAGGGACGTCCCCAGCCGCTGGAGGGACAATGTCATGTTCAAGCCTCGTGGAATCCGCGACATTCCGCAAGCAAAATCACCAGCGCGGAGACCAAACGTTGACGTTTCAAGCAGCCGGGGCCCGAATGGTTTGCATTTTCCTTGACCCTTTGCTTTCCATGCCCCTGGGAATCCGCACGCAAGCAAACGCTCACCAAAACAAGAGTAAGGGCTATCTGGAAGAGCTCAGAGCTATATGCCACAGAGGACCCCGCTGTGTTTGTCATCGTAGGTTGCTACATACATGTTATGATGATGAGAGGCTCGACAAGAGTCGAAGTCCACAGCAAAGAGTCTCAGACTCACCCAGAGGAGGGTGACTGAAGATTGTACCGCAGGATGGTGCTTGGCTTGCAGACCCTAGCCAGACATCATAAACCCTTAGACCCTAAGCCGTGCACCATCTAAGCCACAAGCTGATCCTACAAAGATGGAGGTCGAGCTCACATCCGCGATCGACGAGTTTGATAGGTCTCACGAGCATCTGAAGGCTGGGGGTGGAGGCAGGGTGGGCTTTTCGATTGGGATCTCGTGTTCCGTAAACCCTGCGGGAGTCGTCGTTGTTGCATAATCTCTGCATTCGCGCGTTACTGTACAACCCGTTTGGCGGCTTGGAGGTTCATTTCCAGATCCTCCACATAATTTCCTTCTCTCGAGCAACTGCAAACCATAAGCTGCGCTTCTTCTGCTTCTTCTGCCTCCGAGCGTCAAGGCTGGGGTTCCAGTGTGTGAGTCCGTCGGATACTCTCCGCAGGTCTGGAGCCGGTGATCCAAGAGCGTAAGGATATCCTCGACCAGTGGGAGCAGATCGATCAGGCAGGGGTTGAGATGTTGAGTTTATCACATGTCTCATGCTGACATGATTCTGGATGAGGATGCGGCAATGAAGACAGTTGCAGAAGATGTTGTGTCCTGCAGCGGGATGACGTGAGTCGACAAAGCGGTTGGGCTAGTTGTCTTAGTGTTCATAGCAAAACCCACCACGGCCGGCAAATCACCACTGGGGAGTAAACATTTGTCAGAGTTTGGGGTGGTTTGCCCTCCCAGGGTAGGTCCCCAAGGTTTGCATTCTGGACGACCCACCGACTCGCACAGTTGAAACATCTTGGTTCTGCGTTTTCGGGAACAAAAGAGCGGCGCTTCGAATTAATCGTGTGATCGGAGGCATCAGCGAGACATTCTCTCAAAGTTCAGTGCTTGGTGGAATGTGTGTCGGACTTAGAAGTGCGGGAAGCGAAACCTCCGCAAGACAACATCCCGTTCAAAGCAGTCTCAAGCGCCGGTCATTTCAGGAATCTTCCCTCATTCCCTTCGCAGAAGTTCATCATGGTTATGCAACTTGTTGACGGGCACCATCAATAATCATTAGCTTAGTGTCAGCATGATTCCTCCATGCATTATGTATTGACCTCAGCAGTTGCCGGAGATCCCGGATCGATCACTTCTTGTCCCCCCAAATCAGAGATCCGACCATGCAGCCCCCGCAAACAAAAAGTTCCGGAGGCGTGGCTGTCCCTGAAAAGCTATGCCTTCGCGGTCACCAGCGAGGAGCATTGCCTCGGCGAGAGATGATAGTAACACTCGAAGCAGTCATGAGACTATACGTCTCCTAATTATCGGTCTGGTGGGTAGGAATTAGGAGATCAGTTTCGCGATCGTTGGAACAGACTTGATCTATCTTCTCCGTGGCCATTTTGGCGATAGCCGATCGGGCCATACCGAAAAATAAGTTCGGCGTGGGAGGAACAGGATAGATCGCTCCAGTGCAGCAATGTCGTTCCCTCCCGCTGGCTTCGCTCAAGGTCGGCAGATGGCGGCCCCGGTGGCTCCCCAGTTCGGGTTGCCTCGCCGGCTTGGTCAGCCTGAGAATCCGGGAAACTGGGGATTCTATACTCCAGGCGAGGCAGAGGCTCCTGAGAATCCCGCGGCTCCAGCTGCCGCATCCGGCGATTGGGGCTCTGGAGGCTGGGGTCGCGACGATCGTCGTGGACGTCGTGACCGTGGGGCTCCTGCTGCTCACAACCCCTTCGCTGTTCAGCGGCCTGAGTTCGTTCGCCAGCTCGTGGTCGAGGAAGAGGACGAGACCCAGAACTCGCTCCTCGTCATCGACAACCGCGATGACCGGGTGATCTCCCCGTTCCAGAACTGGCTGGCCGAGGAGATCATCTCGAATGCCGCCAGCTCGATCAATGTGCTGACGGAGCGGGACTCGGTCATGCCCCCGAACTCGGGCTACCACTGTTCGCTGTTCGCGAACTATACGCTCGATGGCATCAAGGCAGTTCTGCTCTTTTCGATGTCTTCGAGAACAGGGGGACCATGTGCTCAGTGGGACTCCTACGCGAGTCGGGCGCTATCGCACCCGGCTTTCCAGCCCTTCACTTGGCCGGTGATGTTCGATACCTCGGCCACCTATGTGGATGTGAAGGTCTTCAATGGAAACGAGGTCCTGTTCCATTGGGTCTTCAGGGGCTACCGCTCGGACTCGGATCTTTCTGTCCAGCAGCAGTTCTGTGACGAGGTGTTGATCCGGTCAGCCAACGAAGGATGGTTCCGACCCTCGATCGTCATCTCGGTCTTCGTTGGATGGAAGGTCTCCGTGACCTCGTTCGAGGTTGGAGCCCGAGTCTACACGATCGGCCCGAGAGGAGCAGTGATGGCGAGCGACCATGCCATGAGCACTTGTGAGCTCAGGGTGACAGAACGCTCGTCCCGAGAAGGCTATGGGAACGACGCCGATCGTGTTGAGTTTCGGTTCCGGGACGCCAATAACCGGATCGATCTCAAGTGCGGGAGGACTTCGGTGCCTGGCACGTGGCTCACAGTCAGCCACATCTCGGGCCCCGCTCTGATCAACACGATCCAGGCCTGTCGGAACCAGCGTGCTCGCGTGGAAGGTCCAGACCACATCCAGCAGTTCGCTCAGCTGTCTGCGGTGATCGCCCCCTGGTACCACAGTGCGTTCGCCAACGAACAGGGGCAAGTGGGGACTGCGACAGACGAGTCCCGATGGATCATGGGAACTTCCACGTACGGGCTAGATCTAAGCTCAGGGTCTGCCCACTGGAGTTCGTCCGGCAGGAGGCGCTCGCCCACCGGTCGCACGATGAGAACAACGCCGTTCGAGCTCGGAATGGCCCCCCGGCTCTCATGGAAGAGGCGGCTCGGCAGGCGGTTCAGCAGCTGGGCTCCTCGGTCACTTCGGCGATCACCAACATGCCCACCTCGGCTCAGCAGGTGTTCGACCAGAGGGTGAGCACTGTTCCGGTGCCGGAGGAGGGCCAGCTCGGCCAGGAGCAGATTGCCGAGGAGGTCGTCGCCGATGCCCGCGATCGCATGAGGGCCGACATGCGATTCTCGCGCACGTCGGCTGCGATCACGCCTCAGGTTTTCACCGACGTGCTCCAGCGCCGTGAGCAGGCGGAGTACGAGCGGATCAGCACGGTCAGGGTGGAGGAGACGGGCCAAGAGATCACGGCTTCCCCCTCCACTACGACCACGGTGCCGAAGGCGTTCGCCCCGGCTTACCCGCCGGCCAGATCGTCAACGGGGCCCTACACGATGGACAATTCGGAGTAGTTGTCGATCGAAGCCTAGGTGATGGTCGGTTTTTGTGCACGCTCCTAAGAGAGTGGTGCGCCGCGCGACCGAAGCCTCCTGGCGGATCAGCCGGGCTCTTCCGCGGAACAAACATGCCGAGCGATCCTCTCGGCGCGCTAGATCCCAGCGCATGTTCTGCCGGAAGTGAGATTGATCAATACCTGTCTCAGGCACGGCGCTCGGTTACCATTAGCAGGCACGTGCGATCGTTCGTGCAGCTGTTCAGGCCCAGCATGGATAGGTCCGTTCGGAAGATCCTATCCCTCCCCCTGTTCGGGGATGAATTTTGCCAATGGTTGGTGGATCTTCGGATGGCTCAGTTCGAGAAGCTCACGGCTGTTTCGGACGGGACGATCGCTGAGTGTGTGCAAGCGTTCATTGATCTTGTCCCTGCCCTCGAGGAACTCCACACGCCAGATCGGCGGAAGAACGAGGAGGAGCTCGGCAGGTGGGTCCCGTCGATCGAGCTGTTGTTTGTGCTGGTTCGTAGCACGGCAGCAGCGGGCTGGGCTGATCTGGCCACTGATCTGGGATTCGGCTTGGCTGAAGTTCCGGTCGTCTTCGGGCGATCGCCACTGAAGTCGAAGGGGACTGGCAAGGAGCCTCCTATGCCATTGCCGCTCGCCAAGAGGCCGCGGGCGATCGAGCCGAGGCCTGAAGATCCGCAGGCATCGCTCAAAACCCGTGAGCTCGGCGAGGCCCGAAAGTGGGGCATGAGGCTGAAAGCGATCGTGGAGAGGTGCGGCGAGCACGCCGCGATCGCGGGCAACCCGAAGCCGGGATCCCCCCTGTCTCAAGATGAGATGAATGCATTGAGGTTGATCGTCTTCGAGGGTGGCGGTTTCCGCACTATCCAGCAGTGCGTTCGTCACTGGGAGAGGATTGAGACTTGGGCGAGGTCGCAGAACCTAGCGGTGATCCCGCTGACTACCGACGTGCTCGTCAAGTACCTCTTAGATCTCTCCGACCGAGGTTGCGGCCCCACCGTGATACCTTCGGTACGTGGGGCGGTCAAATGGATCTGCAAGCGGATCGGCTTGTCGTTGCCCGACCTCCTCGATCCCCGGATCATGGCCTTGCAGAAGAAGGTCTATGGCGATCGCGGGAAAGAGACGAGGGAAGCGGTTCCCATCCCTCTGATCTTGGTGGCGGCGCTCGAGCGGTTCGTGTGCGCTCGTTTTAAGTCGAGCCAATTCCCCATGGCGTTCTTCGCATGGTGGGTTCTCGTGATGATCTACTCGTCCCTCAGGTTCGACGACGCGCTCCACGTCGTGCCCGAGGCGCTCGCCCTGAAGGACGAGGCTCTCTATGGGGTGGTTTGGCAAACTAAGGTCGAGCGACAAAAGAAGGGAACGCGGTTCGCGGCGGCCAGAGTCTCCGTCTCCGGATCCGACTGGATGGAAGACGGATGGCACGCAGCTGCGTTCGAAATGGACGATCGCGACTACTTCATGAAAGAGCTCGAATCGGCTGAGCGATTCGCCGATCGGCCTGCCAGCTACCAACGGAGCATCCTGTGGCTGCGGTACGTGCTCACTACTGCAGCTTCGGACGATCTGAAGCGCGGGCACATCTCGCCCGAGCGGCTCAAGGAGCTCCTGAAGATCGTGCCGGAGATCACCTGGCACTCCTGCCGAGTCACGCTGCTCTCGGCGGCGGTCCAGGCGCAGGAGCCCGATAAAGAGATCGGGCTCCAAGCGAACTGGAAGGATCCGAGCCAGCTGGTCCTGAAGTACGATCGGAGCCGCAAAGAGATCTCGATCGAGATGGTCAAGCGGCTCACGAAGAGGATAGCATCCAACTGGAAATCTCCGCCGGAGTTCGAGGCCGACGATACCAATCTGGTCGACTTCGGTGATCTCGCTCTGACCTATGTCACCAAGGCTAGATCGGCTGCGGGGTCCTCAAAGGATCTGAGTCTTAAATATCATGCCATGTATATAGATGGTACGGGCACGGAGCGAACGCTCTGCGGCCGGTACGCGATCACCGAGTGCGAGGATCTCGGCGAGATTCCGCCGAGTACTCAGATGTGCTCGTTGTGTTCCGGTAAGATCTTTACGGAGCCGTGAACACAGCTGTTCGCAGTCACGATGGCCACTCGAGCTGAGCCTCTCCCTGACCGTAGCTTTTCTTTTCAGACAGCTCGTTAGGCAGCCATGGTCGATCGCACCGCATACGCGAATGAGGCGGCGACCCCGAAGCTGAACCTGCGCCAGATCTTCGGGAGACAGGGGCTAGATCCAGCCCTCTGCAGGCTCTCGGCCGACAAAGGTCTCCTCACGGTCGAGATGTTCGCAATGCTGGGGCAGGATCTCACCTCGGCGAAGGCGACAATCCGCCGGCTGTGGCAAGATGACTTGACCCCGCTCGGGGCTGATGCGGCAGCACAGGAGCTCTCCGTGATGTCCTTGGCAGCGGTGTGGCAAGCTGCTCAAGCGCTGCAAACGCAGTACGCCTCTCGGCGAGCTCGTATGGAGGAAGACCCGAACAAGATCCCGGAGCTCTCCCAAGAGGACCACGCGGAGTTTCGCGATCGCTTTGTGAGGGTTCACCCCGACGTCATCCTGATCGACGCCAAAGAGCCGCATAAGAAGTTCGTCGAACGGCTGTCCCGCGATTTCCTGATCCATGGGATAGTTCCATTCTACGAGCCGGCCGAGATCAGGACCCGCTCGGATGTTATAGTGGTCAAGTCTGGACTTTCTCGGAACGCCGAAGATCTTCTGTCCATCTCTAAGGCTGATCAACCCGAGCCGGTCACCGATGTCACGACTCTGTTCAACCGTCTGCATGCTTTCTTCATGGCGCTCGAATACCTCAACATTTGCGCGTTCTCACGCGCCGAGGGCCCGCTGAAGTACTTGCAGGAATTGGAGCAGTTCCGCTCGGAATGTCCCGGCTTGCCATTCCTCATGGCGGCGGACCGAGCTATCCGGAAGAAGATC